TCGGCCTGTGCACTGAAGGGTCCCAGGTTCAATTCCGGTCAAGGGCATGTACCTTGGTTGTGGGCACATCCCCAGAAGGGGGTGTGCAGGAGGCAGCCGATCGATGTTTCTAACTCTCTTTCCCTCTCCCTTCCTCTCTGTAAGTAGCTTCTCTCATCCATTGTTCTTATCTCTATGCTATCATGAAGGATGAACAATTCATATAAGCATGAGCAAAGTATATATGCGCAAGAGATCTAAAATTTTGCCATTAAATAAACTAATGAACAAATGAAAACACATGTAGACATTTCGGAAGTATTTTTAGTCAACACATCAGGAAAAAACGGATAACAGAAAGATTAAGTCACAGAAATTACTAAAACTTAGTAGTGGAGGATTTTGTGCTTACCTGCCAGACACCCACAATGGCATTGGCTACTAATATAAGTAAAATTACAAAGGGTTCTACAAAGGCTGTAATTGTTTCTTCACCTTCTTCAAACCAAGCCAAAACCTAAAAGAGAAATCATATGTGATGTGTTAGAATTGTAATGTATTTTTAGGCTTATTGCCACTTTATAACAAAAGTGGCTGGCACTAATGGAATTACAACACACAAAATCTCTCTTTTCATCCCTAGAAACCAATAGTGGTGAAATGTAATGACATAAAAGATGGCTTATGTCTTATTCAAAATAATTATTGAGAATCGAAAGCATACAACTTCTTAACAATACCCTTAAGAGCTAATTTATTTTTTCATGTAATAATTGTTTTAAAACCCAAATAAAACACTTAGGAAAGTAAACCCATTCATTTTATATGTATACTAGAGGCCTGGTGCATGAAATTCGTGAATTGGAGAAGGGGGCGGAGGGAAGATCCCCTCAGCCCGGCCTGCGTCCTCTTGCAGTCCAGGACCCCTTGCTCCTTACCACCTGCCTGCGTGCTGCTCCTTAGTGCTGCTGCGGAGGCAGGAGATGCTCCCACCACTGCCGCTGCGCTCGCCAGCCATGAGCCTGGCTCTGGCTGAGCAGCGCTCCCCCTGTGGGAGTGCACTGACCACCAGGGGGCAGCTCCTGTGTTGAGTGGGATCGGGCTGAAACAGGCTCTCTGACATCCCCCAAGGGGTCCCAGATTGTGAGAGGGCACAGGCCAGGCCGAGGGACCCCCACCAGTGCATGATCGGGGCTGGGGAGGGATGCGGGAGGTTGGTCAGCCGGGGAGGGACTGCGGCAGGGCTCCAGGGTGTGTCCAGCCCATCTCGCTCAGTCCTGATCAGCCAGACTCCAGCAGCAAGCTAACCTACCAGTCAGAGCATCTGCCCCCTGGCGGTCAGTGCACAAGATAGCGACTGGTTGACCTGCCGACTGTCTGCCCGTTGGTGGTCAGTGCACATCATAGTGAGCGGTTAAGCAACCTTAGCATATCATTAGCATTATGCTTTGATTGGTTAAACAGACGACCAGACACTTAGCATATTAGGCTTTTATTATATAGGATAGTGAAGGGACATAATTTAAAGACATCCACAGGGATGGGGAAAACATCAGAGGAGGAAACGGGCACCCAATTTTGAAAGGTGGGAGTAAATGGATGAGAGGGAACTGATGTCAATAGGGAGAGAGAGGCACAGACACAAGTTCCATTTGCAGAATCATAAAAAAGCATTAGTTGCTTAGCATAATACTCTCCAGGTCCATCCATGCTGTTCAAATGGTAAGCCAGTCAGAGAAAGATAGCTATCCCATGATCTCACTCATATGTGGAATCTAATGAACAAATTAAACTGATGAACAAAATAGACCCAGAGACATAGAAGCATGGAACAGACTGATGAATTTTAGAGGGAAGACAGGGGTGAGTGGGTGGGTGGGTAGTGATTACTGGGAAACATATGCATATATGCATAGCCCATGGACACAGACAATAGAGAAGGCCTGGGAGAGGTGAGTATGGGGTGAAGGGGGTCAATGGGAAACAAACAAACAAACAAACAAACAAACAAACAAACAAACAAACAAACAAACAAACAAACAAACAAACAAACAAACAAACAAACAAACAAACAAACAAACAAACAAACAAACAAACAAACAAACAAACAAACAAACAAACAAACAAACAAACAAACAAACAAACAAACGAAGGGTGTCAATGGGAAACAAACAAACAAACAAACAAACAAACAAACAAACAAACGGAACATCTGTAATACTTTCAACAACAAAGATAAATTTTTAAAAAAAAGCATTTAGTTACTTCTGAAATGCAGGTAAAGAGGGTAGTTCTGAAATCAGGCTGAGAACCTGGGTAGAATCTGTCTGAGAACCAGTTAGATATCTCACTGCTACGTGTCCCTCTTCCCCCAAAGTTCTGGATATACAATCATTAGAATAGGAAAGCAGGACCTTGAGCTGGCAAATGCTGCACAAGGGGGTATGCACCATGCTGACAACATGGGATACATGATCAGATGCATATCAAATAATGAATGCAAAGACCCCCACCTCTGCCTCTAAGTCATTCTCAGGATACTGGGTCCCACATCCCTTCCATCTAGAGAGAAATTGGAAGATTCTTCTCAAAGGGTATGGTCTTTTTTTTTTTTAGTTTTATTCATTTCAAATGGGACGGATCTGGCCCCGCGGGCCGTAGTTTGCCCACGGCTGATCTCGAGAGAAATTGGAAGATTCTTCTCTGGAAAATTTATTCTATTCCGAAGCAAAACATCGAAGACACTGACATTTGGAATTCCCCAACACACTGTCCAAATGGGTCACCTTACAGTGTAGTTCAGAGAAGCCCCATGATTAGTTCAGCAGGCCAGTCAGGTTTTAAAACCCTCATTCATAATCATGCACAGAAAGGCAAGGATGAGAAAAATTTGAGGAAAGGCTCGCAGATAAAGACCCAAACTGATAATCAAGAAAAAAATAAAATAAAGAAACTTCAAGGAAACAGATTATACAGGGAGAAAAAACAACAACAACAAATCCAAACTATTAGGAATATGCATGAACCCAAAATAGGGTACTACCAATGCAAAGCACTTACATTTAAAAAATAACAACAATCCAACAGCATTTGAAAATAGAAACATAATAACACACATGAAAAATCAATAGAAAGACAGAAAGAGAAAGTTATAAGAAATCTTCCTAAAAGTAGGTAAAAAAAAATTAGACAAAGCCCGGCTAGTGTGGCTCCGTGTTTGCGTGTCAAGCTATGAACCAAGAAGGTCATGGTTAGATTCCTGGTCAGGGCACACGCCCGGGTTTTAGTTTCGATTTCCAGCAGTGGCGAGTGGGAGGCAGCTGATCAATGATTCTCATCATTGATGGTTCTGTCTCTCTCTCCCCCTCCCTTCCTCTCTGACGTCAATAAAAATATATTTTAAAAAGTAGACAAAGAAATAGAAAATAGAGAAAAGGCAAGAACCTTAGAAAACAAGTCCAGAATGCCCGATGTTTGAGAATAAAATTATCCCATGAAAAAATGGAGAACATAGACAGGGAGGGGAGAAAATCATCAACAAATAATGTAAGAACATTTCCCCAAAATATAAGTGGTAATTTTCCAGAAAGAGAGGGCCTGGTAAATGTTCAGTACGCAAAGCCTCACAGTTCCCAGAACTCATCCACTGCTGGTCCTGCGATGCCCTAAAGGGCTCTTAGCATCTCTCAAGCCAGCCCATGAGTTAACTCCCAGTGCCTTGAAATCTGAAAACTCTGGAACTCTGGATGATAATTTAATTGAAAATTAATAAACCAGTATAAGAAAAATCCCTAGACAATATCATATTATTTAATAAGCATGGTAAAAAACAGGAGGGGGTATTTGCCCATAATGTCATATGTATGTAACTTTTAAAAACATTCATCATTCACATCAAAATGTGATGTTCCTTCTGGGCTATTAACGTCTATAAAAAGGTGTTTCATGGTTCTGACTTGTGCCAGGTGTTGCCAATGAAAAATGGGTGATTCTTAAAGTCTTTCATTTGACCAAATCACTGTTCCAGCAACAAATGAGCCGCAGAACAAGTTCTTTAGAGTTCACTCTTTAACTTTGAATTCAAAATATAACCTTTTATAAACAAAACATTAAAAAAAGAGTAGCAATGATAATCACTGTTTAACTTCTTTCCAATTATCATCCATTCATTTGTTCACTCTTTAACTTTGAATTCAAAATATAACCTTTTCTAAACAAGATATTTAAAAGAGTAGCAATGATAATCACTGTTTAACTTCTTTTCATTATCATCCATTCATTCAATATTTCAACAGTTATTTAATTAATCCCTACTTTTGCAAGTTATGGTATACTCTAGCTGCTAAGACTACCAACAGTTATTTAATTAATCCCTACTTTTGCAAGTTATACTCTTGCTGCTAAGACTATACAGAAATACATTTTTGGTCAAGATGGTTGTGTAAACAAGCATATATATTTTAGTTCCCTTCTTGAACCTCATTAAAAATCAGTAAGAGTTTTAAGAAAAGTACATAATTGTGCAAGGTGAAGCCAGGTTTTACCTTCTAGTGGGAAGCTAGAAAACTCTTTCTGGGCAATCTGCTCACCTGCAGAGCCAAACCACATCTATCACCCAATAGGATGAAGATAGGCATGAAGACTCATAGCTTTGAGCAATCCCTTCCCCAACTACTAAATATGAGCCTGCAACTAAGGATTATTAGACATTTGAATCAAGCCACTAAGGTGGGGGATAGAAACCACAGCAATCAGGGAAAAACAAATGACATACTTGGAAGAAACAGACACCTTAATGGCAAAGATAACTCCTTTTTTTTCTCCAGGAGAAAAGACTGTCATTCATAACCACAGAAAATAAAAGAAAAATATTATGACTATGAAGTAAGATTAAGATTTCATAAAAGGGAAACTTTGGAGGAAAAATAATATTTGGGGTATTAAAATATTATAATGTAAAATAAAAGCTCATTTAGAAATGTTAAAAAATAAAGTTAAAGCCCTGGCCAGTGTGGCTCACTTGGTCGGAGTGCCATCCCATAAACCGAAGGTTGCGGTTTTAGTCCTTGTTGAGGTGTGTGCAGGAGGCAGCCAATTGATGTTTCTCTCTCATCTTTCATCTCTCTCTCTTTCTCTCTCTCTCTCTCAAAATCAATAACAATAATAATAAAGTTAAAGAAATCTCCCAGAATATATATTTTTAAAAGATGAAATATAATAAAGAAAAGATAAGGAAATTAGAGACCCAAACAGGTAAGATGGGTACCCAAATATCAGTTTTCCCAAAATAGAGAAGGGGGGGAATTTAAAGGCAAATGAGCAATAAATTCATTTAAGAAACATTTCTCAAATGGAGGAGCATAAGTTTCCATATTGAAATAGTCTACCCAGTATCCAGTACAGCGGATGAAAATGAGCCAGTATCAAATCAAATCATCTAGACATTTCAGAGCCTATGAACACAGAGAAGATGCTACAAATGTCGAGGGTGAGAGGACCAGCCACATAAAAAAGGTT